TGATAGTATCCTACAGCCCAAAGTAACATTGATGCGTCTTGTTTTATTCTGAAAACCCCAAATATTCAATTTACATCAGGTTGGGACCAAGAAAATCAGCAATTTCTCACATTTAAGAAGCTTAAACTGTGAAAGTTTTGGCTTTAAAAAAATAAATTAATAACATAGTTAATATTTTGATAATCTATTAACTATCAACTAACTGATTTATCTCCCTCCTTGCTTCACATCATTTCATTACAAGACTGCAACACAATCTCTTCTTCATGTTACTGACAGGAAAACGCTGATCACTAACCACCTTCTTCTTCTTCTCTGGTGTTTAGCTGCACTGCTGTGGTCTGTTCAGTTACGAGGACTGGGAGGGCGACATCCCCGACTCCTGTCTGTGCAACCAGGTGGAGGAGATGGAGGGAAAGTGTCAGACTGTGACCTACAGAGTAAGTTTCAAACAAACGCTTTATCTCCCTAAACTGTGTTTTTAAACGGCCGCTCACTGACGTTTTCCTTCTTCCAGCTGCTCATGCTGCAGAAGCAGAGGTCCATCTACATCAAGGTGAGTGGAGCCTTTAATTTAACTCAAAGCCGACTGAACACATCGTATGAAGATAAATTAATATCACGTGTGAACAGGAAGTGACCTTTTCTCTCCTCCCATCTGCAGACCTGCTTCCCCATCATCATCAGCTACGTCCATATGATCGCTGACATCACGATCGGCATCATCTTCACTCTGGCTATACTGGCGGTGAGCATCAAGAACCCTACAATTTACAATTTATTTAGTGACGTAATGCAGTCCCCTCTCAATTTCAAACGCCTCGTGGTTTCACGCCTTTCCGCAGCTGTTACGGTCAACGTGCTGCTCCGTTCATAAACATAAAACTTTGCATCGTGTAGCATGATGAACATGTTTGTATGTGCAGACAGGCGACTCTTCAGCGACCGCTAAAACTTAGAAGCTCATCTATCGGCTTATAAAAGAGGAACGATGAATAGAAATATTATGGCAATATTAAACAAGTGCAATATGCAAATTGCAATAGATGCAGGTGTGTGTGAGACGCCCCGCCTGCAAATCCTATCCTCCAGACGTAAGGGAACGTGGTTGTTCAGTACAGACCCTCAGCAGACATCACGTTGTTTTTATATCTTTGAAATGCAAAAACTACCATTCGCAGTAGAATCGTGACTCATCTGTGAAAGTATGAAGCTGATGCAATGCTCCCTTAATGAACCGAAGTGGGTGTGTTTTTCCTTTCACCTGCGCATTTTCAGTTTGCACACCTGAGCAGGACATGCCAAAGAACTTGAAACGCTTGGTTGAGGAGGCGCAAAGCTTCAACTGCAACACAAATTTTGACAGACATGAAAGAAAATGGATCCATCAAGTTACTAACGAGTATTCCCCGAGCCCTGACCTCAGTAACGTAGGAGGAACAAGTGCTAATTAGGGCTTATAATAAATGTTTGATTTAATTAATTTGAATCATGAACGAATCAGCACTTTCTCTATTAATATATTTATTTTGTTGAGGAACAGGAACCAGTATTTAGATTCTTTACTTAAGTGAAAGTATGTAAGTATAATCAGGAAAATGTACTCATGAAATTCATGTTAAAGCAGGATTTTACTGTTCTAGATGTTTAAGGTTCAACTATTTTTATTATTTTTTTGGATCTGACTGCAATTAATTACTTATCATTATTTATTAATCCGCTGATTATTTTCTCCATTAAACGTAGAAAAAATCTGAAAATAGTGAGAAATGTCGCCCAGACCCCAAAGTGACACATTCACAATGCTTGTTCTGTCAGTCTAAACCTCAAAATCTTTATAAAATACATTAAAATAATCAGAGGGGGAAAAAAATCTGCAAATATTCACATTTGTGAACTAATGAAATGTTTTTAAACTGTTGGAGTTTAATTTATAATAAAACGTATTTTCATGTGTTTTGTGTGTAATTCTATGAATCTCTTGATCAATACAACATTAGAAAATGCTTTTTCATAATATCCCTGAGTCTTTAAACAAAAAACCTAAATAATTTAAGGAACCAAGAAATCAGCTGACTCTCACGTTGGCGACGTGAAATTTATGGCATTTTCAATTGATTATCATTTGATGATTGCGACACGGACAGAAGACGGTAATATTTTCCTGAATAACGGCAGTTTTGAAGCTGAAGCACTTAACTTAACTCGCCTCTCTTTGTTTCCCTGCAGCTGCTGGGCTTGATTCTGTCCTCCATCATGATTCACCAGATGCGTTACCCGGACCGACCCACCATCCTGCTGTCTGTCCCCACCATCTTCACCACTTCTCCTCCCAAATACCAGGAGCTGCACAACCCCCCACCGCCTTACTAGAGGAGGAACACCGCCACCTGCTGATAGCTTGATGTTCAGGAAGCAGAGCGTTTGTGTTTTATTCTTGAGGTTGAGGCGATTTTATGCAGACTGTGTGTCCAAAGTGCCTTATGTTACTGTGAGGAGTCTGGACGGTTGGCTCCATTGAGATCAATGGAAACCTGATAGAAACTTTAACAAAAACACCACTGGGATTCTTTTTTCTTTTTATTATAATTTCTTTTTTTTTCATGTGAAGTAGCTTTAAACAGATCTGCAATGTTATGTTATTAGTTGAGAGTGAATCTGATTGGTCAGAAGGCGGGCGCAAGGATTTCATTTCGATCTCAAAGCAAAGTTGTTGTTTAAGTTTAGAAGAAAATAATTTGCCCACCGTGGGATAAACATTACAAAAGTACTTTTAATATCGAAATTGTGACTTTTTTTTTTTCTAAGGCGTTTGGCTCTAAAATCCTCTTCTGGAGACACATAAATGTTTAAGTCAAGATTACAAAATAATTTTAGATCTCAACAGTATATTTTATGTAGAGACACTAATTCTCTAAGACTAATGTCTCTATGTCGAAAGGCAGACCTTTTTTTTTTTACTGTTTGGCCCTAATCCTCGTTTGCATACAACATAATCAAGAAAACATCTCTCAATATGCAAAATTAAAAAAAACATTGAGTTGAATATTTAAATTTATACTTTTTTCTGACAGTTTTCGTGTCATGTATGTTATACAAAAGAGAAGACCAAAAGAAAACCCTAAAAAGCTGTGAGAAGGTCAAAATGTTTACTTTAATCTCAAATTTTCTACACTTTAGAGGATTAGAGCCAAACTTCATAGAAAAAGTCCAAATTTAAAGGGTTTTTTCGTGACTCATCGACCACAAACATCAACTTCACTTGATCGTGCAGAAATCTTTACCAACTGCCTCTCTGGCCTTTCTTTTCATTCCACACCTTTTTCAGGAGAGCTTCAATCTTTTGTTTTTCTTTCGCTGCACTTTTACTGAAGATTGTTTTAAAACCTTAACTCCTCATTTAGTTCAACAAATGTACAAAAAACAGCAGCATATGGCCTCGTAGTGCCTGGAGCATTGTTTGTCCTGCTGAAGCACTTATATGAAAAAATAATAATTTTGAGCTGCTAGCTTGGCTGTAGACTTAAACACTTTTGACAGTGTAAAGTTCTTCCCAAACCTGGACTCACTGTTTGACTTGACACATGGCACTTTTGTGTACATGTACATCCGGTACTTTGTGTTCGGGAATGTCAGTGTACTTTCTCTGTTCATCATATCATTACGTTTGTCCTAAATAAACCTTTTAATAATACACATTAGAGCGTAGAGCAAGATGTAAAAACCTGTTGGGAACATTGAAAAATCAAGGATTTTCTTTTGGGAAAAAAAACTTGAGTTGCCATGTTGATGAAGCTTTAAAAGCACGTACTGTTTGGAGTTGTGAGGTTTAGACAGCCTAATATTTTTTTTTTTATATATAGTAAAAAGGGAGAAAAACAGTCACTTTATTAGATGAATAAGCCGATTAATGTCTGTAAAAGTGGGGAAAAGGGAAATACTTTTGATTTTTCTTCTGTTCTTTGCCTTGTTTGATTCTTGTGAGCAGACATTTCCAAAGACTTGCAGAAATAAAAACAATAAAAAACTCTTGTGTGAAATACTAAGGAATGTATGTATTTCTTTAATGATGTACTTCCAGAGTAAATCATCAGTATGTTCTAACATGTTGTGGGGAGAGTCGACCTATATGCCGGTGGTTTCCAATATGAGGGTCAGGATCCTCACAAGGGGTCGCAAGAAAAATAATTTCACCTTAAGATGAAGTGTTTTTTTTTTAGGCCAATACATTAGATTACAATTTGACAACTCATGTACCAAAAAGACTTTGAGGGGTCGTACACATTAATTTTCCGAGTTGGGGAAATAATTTTTGATTAACACCACAAATGCACCATAACTTGTAGCCTTGCAGAGCTGCTAGCATGGCTGGAGATCGTGACCAGCAGGTGGTCGTAATGTTATGGCTAATTGGTGTAAATAAAGGCTGCAGTCCTCACTGAATCCGAGCCGCAGCTCATTTGCAGCATGTCTTGCCCACAATTTATGTCTCTCTCTTTGGCGGTTCAATCACAAATTTGAAAAATCCTAGCAGATAGATTACCTGTTTAATGTTTAAACAGGTAATTCCCTAAAACAGCTGCTCACTTTGGGGTGTCCCCACTTTTGTTGTCAGCGGTTTAGACATTAACGGCTGTGTGATGTTATTTTGAGGGGACAGCAGATTTACACTGTTATACAAGCTGCACACTCACTACTTTACACTGGAGCAAAGTGTCATTTCTTCATGAAAAGATATAATCAAATATTTACAAGAATGTGAGGGGTGCACTCACTTTTGTGAGATCCTGTATATTCTCTGCTGGTTTGAGTCTTTTTGTGAGATATTTTGATAACAAATTTTTAAATCGCCAGACTTATCCTTTGAATGCGTGCACTTTATTTTCTCCTCTACTTACCTAAAGCATATTTTTATTCCTGTAAAAACCCATTTTGAAGAGAGTAAAATGTAAAAATGTCATTGTGCATGTGAAATAACGACAATGTGTGCGACACCTCCATGCGTTGTGTAAATCATTATAATTGTTATTTTTACAAAAAACACTTTGACACTAGCAGTTTAAAAAATTACCTTTGAAAAAAAAGTGCTCTGATTATTTTTTCCTTTTCAACCACATGTTTTAGTTTTTCTGTTATTCCACACTGAACAGGACAGCGTTTAGCTTTTCTTCTATGTGCGCAGAGTTTCCCCGAAAGGCAGATAAAAACGTCCCGTCTTGATGTTTTTCTTTTGTACAATGTCACTGTAGTTTTTATCAGTAAGCAGGGAGATTAATGGAGCTACAGGCCCGGTGGAAAACACAGTAAAAGTACACAGCAAGTACACAGAAAACCTTCGTTCATGTACAGATTTCCATCACCGCCATGTGAATATAACTTATTAAATAATTGCTGTTCAGTTGTTTTTTTATTTACCATTTCTCTTAGAAAGTAAAACAAACAAAGCATTTTACAGAAATCAAACATGCATGCTTTTACTTCTCTGTCCAGGAACAGAGAGAGTGTGTGTGTGTGTGTTAAAAACCGTGTGGAGGAAGAGGAGGATGAAGGAGCAGCTGCACAACACTGCGAAAGCCATTATTATATTTAGAGCTGAAACACTTAGTCAATTAAATAAATCACAAAAGATATTGACAGAAATTTAAGTTTTTTTTAAGCACAAATATCTGAAACAATCTGTTTTGAGCTTCTGAAACGAGAGGATTTGCTGTTTTTTCCATTTTATATCTTTGTAAATCAAATAATTTGCTGTTTTGATGACAAAACAAGCGATTTAAAGGCGTCTAATTTTCTGATGTTTCAAATAAATGTTGCTGCAGCCTGATTTCTGAATATTTCTGCTGTTAAACGTTTTAATTGATTCTCCAGATTATTTTTAACAAACTGATGTTTGTTAAAACTAAATAAAATTTAGGAATTAAAAGAAAAGAATTAACTACAAATATCAGAGTGTAGTTAAATTTACAGACTGAAAAACGGAGCAATCGTGAATCAAAAATGTCAGAACATTTCCTGGTTTCAGTTTCTCCAATGTGAGTTTTTCTGTGTTTTATATTTTTATAAACAAAATATCTTCCATAGTTGGATAAATAAGATAAATTATTATTCTTTAGTTTTATATCAGCATTTTTTAAAATCTCTAAACTTGACTTTAACGGCAGCTTCAGATTTATTTTTATTATTATATTTTTCTTCTCACAAAACCGGAAACATTTTTAATTTTCAGGTTTTTAAACTTCCTTTAAACGAAGTGTGCAGCTCTGAATGAAGTGAGAGATTTATTGATTTAATAAACGTTATTAAAGGACAGGTTCCGACTCCCCGTCTATATTAAGAAAGCACAGAATAAAAACTGAGGACTGCTTTCAAAGTTTGCACCAAATTCACTTCACTGCAAGTTGCTGACTGGGAATATATATAAAAGAAATCTGAAACAGCTCTTCTACACTTTCAAATTTCACTGGACCTTTTGTGACTTATCATTTTGCAGCCACTCGGTTATTGACTTTGTGGTTTTGGGTCAGTGTTACTGCTCGCTCTTCGTCCCTCCTATCGACGCCGACCCTGAAGCAGCGACTCTTTCCGAGATGGAGGACAGTAAAAGTTCAGCTGAAGCTAATCTGAGGCTTCAACAGTCAGACGGAGTCAAATCAAGTGAAAGTATCCCGTCGTTTTTGGCACCAGAACTCACTTTAAAATGTTGCTGCCTCCTCTTCCTCGCTCTGTTGCATTGTGGGCCAACAGTGTAAATCAACAGCACATTCAAAATCAGGCGGATTTGAAAGGTCAGCAGGTGGAGTTAAGGATGTTCTTTCACGCTCCTCATTCAGACTATTTACTGTGACCTTTCTAAAAACAAGACGACGCATCAGCCGATGTTATAAACACGGGACAAACACATTTTTCTACCAGGACTAAAGATGTCCACCTGCTGAAGCCTCGTATTCACTTCAGAAAACTTTCAACTCTCCATCTCTCACAGAGAAGTTGTGCGAGGACGGTGAGTATATTGAAATAAACATGAAAGCAGGTGAACCTGCCCTTTAATGTTCCTCTTTCATCCTGCAGGTGGAGCTGTTTTACTACAAACTGTCGGCCGGCTGCTCCTCCGGGTTTGAAAACAGGAAACATATTTATATTTTTAGATAAATATGATGATTAATGGAGGTTTATACAGTGTGTGTTTGTGTGTCTGGATGCATGTTTTATCCCCCCCACCAAAAAAAAACAAAACAACATAAATCCCTGCTGAAGTTTGAGCCGCCATTTTATGTCCTCAAGAGTTATTTCAGTACTTTCATTAATGTTGCTAAGTATTAAATACACAAGTTATACAGGAAATTATAGTAATCAAAGTGCTGAAAATGAGATTTCTGTCCAATTTAATGGCTGAAAAGATACTCATAACCGTAAAGTTACTTTTATTTTGGAGGGAACAAGGATTTAAAATGAATTCCCGCGCTCCTTGGCAGCAGAAGCGGAGCTGAATGAACACAGCGGAAACATTTGGGATTATTTTAAAGGAGACCGACTGGACAACAGAGACATTTGTAAATGTGTGTGTGTGAATATTATGTTTGCAAGCATGTATGACAGAGAGAGAGAGAGAGAGAGAGAGAGAGTTAGCCAGAAGAGCAGCATCCTCCGGCGGGCGTGGCTTGTGGTTCGTCGTCGACTATCTGTACGCCCCGCCTACCCGCTGCTGATTGGCTGGCTCCGTTGCCCTTCAACTTCTCCTCAGACTGAGCCATTTCCATCATCCCTGAAAACACAGACAGAGGTTAAAACCAAGCGGGAACCTCCGGCTCTGAAGAGTGAAGTCAGGGCTGAAGTGCCTTTAACCTGCATTCTCTCTAACAGCCAGCAGGGGGCGACTCCACTGGATTGTATAGAAGTCTCTGAGAAAATGAGGCAACTACTCAACCAAGCGGTCAGCAAACTGATGTCCTTTAAACCTGCATTCAATGGAACGGCTCCATTAGCAATAATGGTGTTCATTTAGTAAATTATGGTCCCATTTAGAGGAACAGAGACCAGGAAGCAGGGGAGGCTTTAGGGCGGGGCTACAAGCTGATTGACAAGTCACTACCATGTCTGACTTTCCAATCAGGATAGAGGCGACTCGTATCTGCTGCTCTGTGTACATTTAACCAGCGCCACTGAAAAAGATTATTAAGAGTCAGCTCATTTTTTTCCAATAAGTAACTTAGTTTTAAGCCTGTTTGTTGAAAATTAGCATCCCGGCTAATGTCACAGTTAACATAAATTACAGATGCACCTTCAACATCAAATAACAGAATAAATGATCATTTCTATTATAATCACTATTTTTCCCTCCTCTAACCACTTTAATCCTTCTCATCTACTATTTTATCTATATCTCTCTCTCTATAGAGAGATATAGAGATAGAGTTAAGTTTAAAGCCCCAATAAAACAAAGGAAATAAAAGTAGATGTCTAAATATGATATCCAAATATTTCAGCCTGTTCAATCAGTTTATCACCACTCAGTTTATAAATCTAATTACATATAATAAATGGGACCATAATTTACTAAATGAACATCATGCTGTGTTGAAGAAGACTTGAAACTAGCGACTGAGACCAGAAACTCATCAGGAAAGTGTTTACAGAGGGAATAAATCAGCTGACAAGTAGAAACATTTTATCAGAGACTTCTATACAATCAGGTGGAGTCGTTTCACTTTCATGACTGAGATGAGAGAAATAACATTTGACAACAACTCGTCACGTAACTACAAATCTGGATTGGACGACGGTCAAAAAGCTGTAAAACAACTGCAGGATGTTGAGTTTCATTTTTTTTAAAATACTAATGTTTTTGCACTGGTCCGATTGGGCCAGTGATTTGCTAGTTCAACTGTCCCGACGTTACGTTTTACTGGCCCTGGACCATCGGGCCACCGTTACTGTTGAGCCCTGAGAACCATCTAAGGTTGTAAAATATTATTATTTTATGTAGTTTTGTCTCATTTTCTTCTGCTCAGTCTATTTTCTTCCTGTACGAACTAATTTTGTTGTGCGTTATTTTATTTAAATAAACTTCTCTGCACTGAAACTAAAATCCATCTTCTCATCTGTGTATTACAGGAAAACAGAAGTGGATTTCTTATTTAAAAACGTCACTGTGTGAAAACATTTTGATATTCACTTGATCTCATGACGTTCGTATTTCAGAAAAGGTCGTCAGTCGGGTTTAACTTTGAAGCGTGTTTCGTGCGTTTAGGTTCGGGTCTTACTTTTACAGAGATCCAGGAAGAGCTCCTCGATGCCTTTATTTAACTTGGCTGATGTGTGGTAGTGTCTGGCTCCCACCGACTCTGCGTAACTACACAGACACAAAGAGAGAGACGTATACTGAGCATGCTCAGATAACTCCAGACCACCACGTGCCCACCGACTGAGCTGCGTCGTCGTCTGGTTTCATTTGTTCACAGCAGAGCGACGTGAAAAACCCATGTTCTTACCTCTCTGCCTCTTCCACTGAAACATGTCTGTCTTTGTCCAAATCAATTTTATTACCTGCAGAGAAAAGAAAGACAGACTCAGTCGATCGTCCTGCGGTCGTCAGTCCGGCTCATCCAATCACTTCGTTTTCTATTCAAGTAAAACGCCTGATATTTCTGCACCACAGTTGTTGAGTTAAACACTCTTTGGAATTTCTTATTGTTAAAACATTTTTGTCCACATCGCCCAGCTTAACTTCAGCCAGAGATTTCATTTAATTAGGGCCCTCATGTGGTGATGAGGCTCGTTTGTTGTCGATGCTTTCAAATGTTCAGCTGAAGTAAACGTTTCGTTTCTGATAACTTACCTACTATACATAAACAAATCTCGTTCCCCAACATTTTCCGCAACTCTTTCACCCAGTTCTTCACCTGCAACAGCAGAAACACGATAAATCAGACTGTGTTACATCAAAAAACATGTTAGAAAAAGGGAGGAGAGAATAAAAAGAAGAACCGAGAAGTTAAAAGTTAGAAATGAGAAACGTAACATCATAAAAAGAAAGAAGAAAACGAGCAGAAGTTCACATTTAAGAAGCTGGGAACAAGATATTTTGCTTAAAGAAAGTATTTTAACGATTTATCAATTATAAAATTTGTCCGTCTGAGTTTTCTGTCCAATAATCAATGAATCCAGAAATTATTCCAGCTCTCAAGTGTTTAACAAAGAGGTCCGTTCCGGTGCCGTATTCTTCCCAGGCTACATACTAAGAACAAAAAAAAAATACTTATTTCACTCTTTTGGTTTGATGAATATATACGTTACATATCTGCCTGCAACAATCTGTTTTCATAATTTATGGTTTAGAGCAGGAAATATCTCACTTTCTGGACGTGATTTTAACCTGATTACATTTACACCTGGTTTTAAGATGCGTCTCCAGCGTCCAAATTAAGGCTGCATTCCAAACCGCCTACTATACTAGTACTACGTACTGATTTGGCCCAAATGTAGTATGCAAACAAACGCAAAATCTGCAGTATGCCAAAAATACCCGGATGGCGTACTGATTCGGGAAAAATCTGCAGTACGCATCGGACCAGTCTACCTCACGTACTGTGGCCCATAATGCAAAGCGCTAGACCCGTAACAACAACCAGCCGTCTTTTGTTTAGGGGACAACGACAGAACTTGTTTTACAATTTTCATCATTATTCTAAATAGATATTACATTTTTAGTGTAATGTTACAGTTGTGGTTATAATACTTGCTTTTAATTTGCTTTTATTTTATATAATTCTTATTTATGCGCCAATATACCGAAGCAAACATCTGCTACAGCTTGGCTAGAGATTTTTAAAAAAGAATTCGTTTTAAGCGTACTTACATTTATATTCCTCTTATTGTTCTGATTTTGAAAACCAGAAACTAGCAAAGCCTGGTGTAGCATGCTGCAAAATAAATCTATTTAATAGTTTCATACTACATACTATACCTCAAAGTGTGCAGTATACAGTACATACAGCACACTGCGGTTCAGCTTAAGAACAGATCGCTCTGTCAGGGTCAAACGTCACGTCCTCCTTTGCACGGGTCCTAAAAATGCTTTATAATGACAAACTGTATAATAACTATTTGAACGGTCTCTTTCCACCTTGATTTGTTTTCACTCAATGGATTATGCACCTCTCTCTTCAGCGGTGAAAGTGGAACTTCCGCCTGGCATCGTTTCCTTGCTACCTTTGTCATAGCGTGTCCTCATTTCTGTTATTTTAGGAGCAGGTTTGAGTGAGTTCGTGGACACCAAATCTCCACCCTAAACCCTGATCCTCACAAACTTAGTGGACATTAACTGTCTGCAAGGGCCCGAAATGGTATAACACATATCACGTAACATAACTTCACCAAAACAATTGTCGGTTTGGGGCTTTTTATTTCACATATTTTACTTTTTTGACGGCCGAAGCACTGAAGGGACCGACTGTCTGATTTGAATTTATTCCAGGATTTTGTGGATTAACTTTATGATTTGGACAAGAGGTCATTTTACCTATTTTCTTTTACCGATGGCACAATGCTACGAAGGCAAAGTCTGTGTGCATAAAGGGCCCCTCATGCACCTGACGATTTGACAACGGGACGACCCTGGGCCCTTAAGGACTCACCAGGAACGCGCCGCAAAGTCCGTGAGTGTGAAGATTGTGATTTAGGCGTCAAACTTCTGATTTTACTTGTGGACGGCTCCAAGTCCGAGAGCGGTACGCATTTCCGCTCTTGCGTTCAATGCGGTCACAATGTACCCCTGATCACCTCCAATCGGATCTCAGGTGCATTTAAACCTGTACTTTCATGAGGTCGAGCACTATCCGACTGCAATCCCATCGCTGGTTTTAATACCGGGTGTAAAGGGGCTGTAAGCACCTGGTTTGAAGCTTCATCTAACGTGCAGGAAAAAAGGAAACATCCAAACAGGCGTTACCTTCTGAAAGGAGTCTTCGTCTGTAACGTCGTACACTAGTACGGCTCCATTGGAGTCTCTGTAGTAGATGGGACCTAACGCATGAAAACGCTCCTGACCTGCTGTGTCCTGCACACACACACAATAAAGGTTAATGTTTTTTACAGTTTATTATATTGTACATTATATATGTGATGGTTATCTTTATGTTCGGCTCTTACCCATATGGCCAGGTTCACTCTCTTTCCTGTGATGTTGAGCTTCTTCGTGAGAAAGGACGCCTGCAGAGGAAGAGGACGACACAATCATTATAATGATCAGGTTTAACAAATCAGGCTAATCGAGGGCTTGTTATTAAAACACGTGGCTCAAATCCAGGTCAAACCTCGACTCCTTCGAGACAACAAAGGGAAATTTGGCTCGGGCACAGTGAAGCGTTGCTTAATACAAAACAACAACCTGAGAAACATTGACATGGTGACGTACCGCTCAAGAGGAAAACATAAAAACAGAAGAAAAGGACGTACCATGGAGTAAAGTGTGGTTATTGCACATTGCTCCATTGAACTGAGGCTTGTGTAAAGTACATGTGCTAAGGTGCTACTATTTTTATTGCACACTGCCGTATTGCACCGAGTGCTCACAGATTTATTGCAATATTTCCTTTCCGGTTTTTATTTCCGGTCGTCTCATGTGCTCGTGTTCACTCGCACAGACTTCACTCGGTTAAAAACTTGGTAGGCTATGATGCGACAAGTCACAGTGGATATTTTATAGAGCCTTTCCTCTCTAATTTATCACTTCTAAATATTTTCTAACATCGCCAACAGCAGATACCGCTGCCTGTTGCTAAATTAGACACGAAGCTAATGCCGTGTTTATCAGTGGAGGAGGCCAACATCAATGTGCGATTAAACTGTAGAGTCTCTAGTTACAGCCGGCGTGTCAGAAATGATTAAACGCGAGATGAACAAGTATCTAACGCACAGTTGCAGGTCGTCGTCGTTGAAGACAGTTATGTAGTATTAGATTATTCAGGGGCAGCGTTTGGTTGCGTCTGCCAGAAGTGTGTTAGGAAATCGTTTCTGTAGCTTTGGAATTAACAGAGTGCAGGTGATAAACTAGATGTAGAAAGTGGTCATCGTGGCAGATTATATGTAAGGTAATGACTACTGCATGACAAAATATATATATATATATTTATTATGATAGCAATGACATGAGAGATGATATATGGTATTATTATTTTTAGGAGTAGTACTATATTGGTATATTTTATAGTTTGTTTTGCTGGCCCTAATGTCAACAGGAGTGGCTTTACTGTTGATGCAGCGAGGAAGCAGCAGAGGTGGAGAGAAGAATATATTTGTATTTTCAGCCCCTGGCAAAGAAAGTTTAAGGAAGTGAAAGCAAACTAGTATTTCTTTGAAGACGGCTGATCTGTGACACATTTGAGAGAAGAGTTCAGTCTTCTGCAACAGGTACTTCTGCAACTTCTCATATTGTGCCACAGAACGTCTGTTAGTTTCACTGTAACCTGCAACCTGAGATGGTTTCCTGCCAACAGTTTGTTGAACGCAGCTTCTGATAAAACAAACAACAAAGAGGTCAAAGTCCGTCTGGGTAAAAAGGTTATGTTTTTTTCCCCTCCAGGCCCTTTTTCTGATTTATCGGACTGTTTCGGTGGGAAAGTTAAACCCAGGGTCAAGATTCAGATTCAGAGTCAACAACAGAAACGATGTGAAGGCTCAGAGACTCCGAGAGACTCGAAGCGAGCGAGCAGGAGTAATAGAAACGTTTTTATGCGGAGGAGTAAGTGTGTGAATGTGTGTGAGTCCGGTCAGCTGACTGGGTGTGTTGTTGACCTTTGACCTCTAAATAAAGGTGTTGTGCTCCTGCTCGCTCTTCTTCCTGGTTGCTGCAGTAATTCTTCAGTTAATCAGTTGTTCGTTTTATCTACTGCAGAGTCACATCAAGTGTTTTATTAACGCTAGCACACGGTTTTATTTCCAACATGTCTTCTCTGCTTATAATTCTTGTTAGCATCTTGTTTTATTGTTGCTTTTTCCATTTTATTTTTTGTATTGTTTTAAAATTTGGCAGATTTCCCCCCCCCTCCTTTTTCAACCCTGTAAAAGCACTTTGTAACTTGAAAAAGTGCAGTATAAATAAAGTTTATTATTATTAAATATTCAAAATAAAAAGACAAATGCTCAGAGCCAAACTGATGTTTTCAAAACTAGCTGCGCAACAGCCAAAAAGTCCAAATGTGTTTAAATTAAAATGATTAAAACTAAAGAAAAAGGCTAAAAAGTGTTTATTTTGGTTGACAAATTTGACTTTAATGATAAATTAGGGAACTAAGCTACACATTTCTACAGTTAGAAGTCACGGGCAGCTCAGACCTGGAGTTATAAAAGATCAGCAAACATATAAAACTAGAATAAAAAGATATCTTAGCTCCATCCTTTCCCAGCTGTAAGTCTTCTCTATACACAGAGAGCTCATTTAAAACAGGAACATCAGGTGCTAATCAATCACAAACAATAAAGAAGGACATAAACAGCAGTTTGAGCTTCAACTAACAGATTTAATCTACACTTCCTGTCTCAGCTTTTTCAGGAACAGCCGGCGGTCTGAAACACACACACAGCTGACTCTGTTAGTGAGCAGTGAATTAAAAGTTCACACACGTAACAACTAGAGGCTGACATTTTTTCGCGAACCCTGTAGGTCACAAGATTCCTGTGGGATTCCCGCTGGATGTGGGTCAATTTCACTGTTCATCACGGGACTGTGAAACAACAACAACAAAAAAAAGCCAACAGTAAACTGTAACCATAGATGAGTACCATGAAAAAGCGCCCTGGAACTAGTGTAATAGTGTAATCTGTGACCGAGCACTGCAGATATGTGGCTGCGAGCATGTGATCGTGACCTCCTCCCATCATCCCCTCTGATTCCTGGGTCCTACAGACACATTTGAGCCCATGAATGAAACACACTGAACCTTTAATTCCTCCTGCAGAGACACACAGCCTCTGAAGACGTCTTCGATTATCCGTCTCGAGGTTTCTACCTGCTAAAGGGAGGTTTTTCATGCCACTGTGGCCGAGCGCTTGCTCAGGGTGGGAGCTGTTGTGTCTCTGTAGATAATATAACAAAGGGTACGCTACATGTGCTCTACGTGAAAAGTGCAATGAGGTAACTTCTGCTATATAAATAAAAGGGAATTATTCCAACCTGTTCTGTCCAAGCGGGGACTGAACAATTCGGGGGGGAAAATCTAATTTGCGATTTTTTTTATTGAAGTTTCACTAAAGTTCAATATTTTTGACAGAAACCACGTCAAGCAGCACAGAGCAGGTGAACCAGGCAGGAAGTCAGACACAGAAGGCATGGAGAATCTGGTCGCTTTTCAAAATAAAACATCCTTTGCAGACTCCCGATCGTACATCAACAATAAACACAGTTAAAACAGACCAAAAAAAACTAGCTATTTAACTATGTAGCCTACTTTAACCATATTAGAAGCACAAAAATCAAGGACAAGTGAACAAATAAGCAAAATCTGAACAAGTCAACAAAATCAGGCAGGAAAAATGTTCTTATTCTGAAATGCTCCATGTGGATATGTAACGTTAGAGAGCAGATGACAAATTAACAACACATTAGGGCGGCTAAACGCTCCGCTGCTGAAACACTTCATTGTGAGTTAACGCCGGACAAAACCGCGGCACAAACAACCATTAACGCGTTTTCCTCTAGTTCCGTTTGTTGTTGTAAAATGTGCACGCCCAGTGGCCGCTCTGATTGGTGAGTAGGACCGTAACGGCGCTTGTGACTGGCGAGCAGATCTGTCACACAAGGATGACAACTGAATGAATCTTTGATGCGCCGTATAATTAACCTACATTTTAATCGCCTTCGTCACGATTAGCTAATCGTTCAGCCCTACTTCCTACATTTCCCAGAGTACCATTCAACAGCTGGGATTAATGGCAACTCCCAGGGCCAGGAATGGAAAGTCAAACCCAACATATGTTTTGGGTATCGTTTAACATTTTTGCTACCACCAACCAACCCGATCCCAGAGATATAAGAGACTTATTCTATTTAATTAAACAACCCAGTATGCGTTTTTTAAATGAATGTGTCACGATGAACAATCGTAATAAATGCTCTGATACATGGCAGCCATTTCACACCTGGCTCAATAAAGCTGAACCTGACTGGCCACAAAATCCATTGAGTGTGTTTCTGGAAAAACACGTGTTGATGCGTGTTGAAATGGGAACGGCGTCCAACACAAGCTCACATTCAGACTCGTAGCACGGTCAGCACCATAAACCCTCACCAGGAATTTGTTCTTAACAGAACAAGATGAAACATTTTGGTAAGTTTGGTTATTTAATAATTCTTACCGAATTGTTTACTGATGCTAAAACGAATGGTGGTTTCAGCTCTAAAATATTCACATGTACTGTAGTGCTCGACCCTCATAGACAGTGTTTCTAACAGCGTATTGTCTTGTTTGGTTCGACTGAATCAAACTCCGGTTCGTATGCAAATCGTTTCGGCAGGTGTGAATAATAGTAAAAAGTAGGGACCTCACCATACCAGAAATTTTGTAGTCGATACCAGTAAAATTCCACGATTCGATATCGATCCGACAGTGACCAAACAATAAATCCCATGTGCTTCAACAAACACTCCTTTAAGAAAAACATCTCAACATTACAAAAAACAACTAACAGCTGTGAAAGCTGTGAGAGGACGTCCAGGACAGATGAGAGGTGGTTTGAGGTCAATATATTGAAGATGTTGAAATTACAACCTTGCTCCCTGCATATTTAAATATTAAATGAATTACTTAATTTTCTTAACTTTTTTACAGTCTCACAGGTGTGAAATGTTGAGGGTAGTCTCTATCTATATTTGCAGCTGTCTGAGATTTTTAGATTAAAAAACAAATCAGTTATTGATGATTGAAATGGATCGTGTTGCCCTTTTCAGACGCTCCCTAACTCCTCCCACAGTAACAGGAGCGTCGGACAGATATTCATCGTCACTTTTGGTGATTTTCAGGTGATCAAACTATGAAACTTCTGCCTGAATCGGCTCTCCAAGAGATCCAGAACTGGGAGAAATCCAGGCTTTGACCCGGAGCTGTTGTTGAGTGTTTCTGTCACTCGTCTGTGAAAAGGTGATTAAGCTAGCTGCGCCTAAATTTGGAGTGCACACGTATTCAAGCCTTTATGGTAAGTGAAGCTGCCCAGAGCGAGCTGACAGGCAGGTTAGAGACTTTATCCTGTCAGTTTGTCTCTTTAGTATGAAGAGAGGCTGTGAAGTCTTCGTGTTACGCCGTACAAGAACCACATACAACAGTATTTATCAAACCGGGTCGGACTGGATGGATTTAGCACGAGGAGGAAACGCATGTGACAACGTCTGGTTTTCAAAATAAGGCGTCTGTACAGGATGGAAATAATATTAATTGGATTATATTAACAGAAAGTATAACACATATTACATGTGTCCATTAAAAGTAAATGGACACGTGTAATTTACTTTACCGGACCCTCTCGGGCCCCGGACCCCCCACCACAGTCTCTCCACATCCTGCAGGAAACACTGAGGAAAAAGCCCATTTTGACTATTTAATTTATGCAGTGAAATGTGAATGTACTTGGTATTCGGCAAATGTTTTCATTATATTCGGTTTCGGCCAACAATTTTTGGTGCATCCCTTCTATATGGCTGCAGATAATAGAATATCCTAAAAACTGTGCAGAAGAGCAACAGATGAGCCTGACGACGCCAGCACCTCCACCTACAGTCACTTTATCCTTAAAAAAAAAAAACATAAAAATTTGCAGATTTCTGGGTGAGGTTTGGCTTCAATACACGGGAGCTCCGGGGTGTTCGGCAGCTTAAAACAACCACAACCGACTGAAGATCAGCGCTAATCTCCAGACACACTGCGTTGCAGAGATTCAGTCAGAGCGGCGGTAAGTCATCACTGGCTGCTCAGATGGAAAATGCTGCATCACACTTCCTGGATTTTCTCCTGAAATGTGCAGTCAGTGAGAGGTTTTTGTAACCAGCAGATAAACAACCAAAACAGAGTCATAGTGGCAGAGCAGCTGGCTCGAAATCAGATATTATGCAAACACACTTTAACTATCTTTATCACCTCTCGGGCCGCTTCCACCACGATATGTTTAATCAGGGAGCTCAGTTTACATTTTGAAAGTCTTCCATCCACACTTGGTATTTTTGTAATGTTCTCTACGAGCTTACTGTCCACAGTGAAACTGATCCAGAGATAGAGGCTGCACCCTGAGAAGGTGCATTCATTTCATTTAAAAGAAAATAGATCACCTTGGTTGTCCATAACAACAATAAAAATAACACCAATCAACTACTATGGCTTCAACAGGTGGCATTTTAAGCAAGGTATTGCATAAAGTACTTTATATCGGTATCACATTAAGGGTACTGGTTTTGGTACTGGTATCATACAATTTTAAACGATGCCCAGTCCTAAAACAAGGAGAATCAAAATCGGAACCAGCAGCAGAACCAGAGATCTCCTCTTATTATTCCACACATTCATCTTCCTAGTCAGATCCTGCATTTCCCAGGATGCAACACATAGCAGTAGCAGCTAACGTGGCCTGTAGTCTACAGCATAGATGAGCAGTGACTCCAGAGGTCTGCCCACCCACCTGGGAGAACCACCGACACACCTGCTCGGCTGGTTACTACAGGTACATTACCTCGTCCAAGGTGAGCTAACTTTATCTCCGTTTCAATCAGCCAGCAAGTTCATTTCCTATCAGACGAGAGCGCTGAAGCAATAAATTGATAATGTCACAAGACGAAGAATGTGAATAATCAATTAGTTGTTTATGTAAATATCAAAAGAAAATTCAAAATATTTGATGGTTTCAGTTTCTCCAGAGTGAGGATTTGTTTCGTATCATTTTAAATCTAATATCTTTGAGTTTATACATTTAAAGAGGTGTCAGCTTCGGGTCTGGACCCACAGACGGTATAAAAGAAGTGGACGTCCCCTGTTGGTTTGTGGACTTCTGTTCTGAAGCCTCGAGTTTGCCATATTGGTTTTTTGGAACCAGATGTGACCACATTTGGAAATGGCTTAAAACTAAATGTACTTTTAAGCAGCGCTGGTTAAATGTACACAGAGCAGCAGATATGAGTCGCCTCAACTAAAGCCTCCCCTGCTTCCTGGTCTCCGTTCCTCTAAATGGGACCATAATTTACTAAATGAACATCATGCTGTGTTGAAGAAGACTTGAAACTAGCGACTGAGACCAGAAACTCATCAGGAAAGTGTTTACTGAGGGAATAAATCAGCTGACAAGTAGAAACATTTTCTCATAGACTTCTATACAATCACACTTCTTTCTGCAGCCGCTGGAGTCGCCCCCTGCTGGCTGCTGGAGAGGACGCAGGTTTAAGTCGCCCCCTGCTGGCTGCTGGAGAGGACGCAGGTTTAAGTCGCCCCCTGCTGGCTGCTGGAGAGGACGCAGGTTTAAGTCGCCCCCTGCAAGTCCAAGTCAAGTCTCAAGTCGAGACCAACCAGTCAAGTCTCTACTCCTGAATAGGACTGAAGCGATTCATCGATTACTAAAATGCATCGACGCAAATTCTTCGCATCAACGCTTCGTTTAATCCATATAAATATACAGCGCCTTGTTTCGCAGGGACATTTATTACCGTCGCACATCGCGCTTACGCTGTGAACCCGACGGGATTTTGATGCCGCTGTTTGCAAAGTGGAGGAAGAGAGAAAACAGCGAGGGACGAAGAAGAAAGTGTCCAAAGTCTGGGATTATTTCAAGCTAAAGAAAACAACAGCTCTGTAATGTTACAGTCCGTCCACTGTAAAACAAAACTTATGTCGCCTCGGCAACAGCACGACGGCGCCTGATCAGAAAGCAGCCGGTGTTCTGCCAGCGGACCACAGACAAGGTAACAGCAACTTTAGCGTCTAACTGAAACCATCCATCCTTTCACCCATATTCTTTGTCTTTATAATCGCTATCTTTATAGTAACAAACAGCTGTTTCGTCTGCCGCCAAGCAGAAGTATTTCTTAAATGACGCATCGATGAATCGTTGAAATAAACTACAGAAGCTTCGTTAGCTGCAGCCCTACCCCTAAACGTTGAGTTGAGTCCTAAACAAGCTATAATGTGCTCTTTGCAGACTTGAATTTCATATTTAAAATGATAAAAATAAATAAAAAACTTTATTGAATAAGGCGTTAACTCACGTTGATGTGCTGCACAGTTTTTATTTATATCATAATTTATATTTGGGCCAAGTGAAGTCACCAGTTTCTGGTGTTAAAGTCAAAGTAGGGCTGGACGATACGGCCAAAAATGTTATCACGATAAAAACTTTCATATCTTTCGATATCGATAACTGTGACAATAAGTAGAAAATCGTTATTTCTTTTCGAGTTTAAAGGCTGATTTCTGCTCCTGACTTAAAGTTGAAGAAACCGGATGGTTCATTGTGGTTTAAACTTCTTTACGGGCAACACTTGAGGCCAAACAGTGGATCACATCATTTCTTCAGTCCTTCTTCCTCAACAAAATAAAACATTTACTGAATATTTATTGAACATTTGTTATGTTGTTATTGAAAATAATTATATCGCGATAATTGGCGTTATTGTTTTTATTGTCCAGACCCAAGTCAAAGTCGAGTTTCAACTCTCTTTCTGATTTTGTCAAGTGGAGTCTGAAGTCATTGTGACTCGAGTCCACAGGAGAGAAAGCATCTCCTCCGATCTGAGTCAGGTCACATGTAATAAACAAGTTACAGCCAACATCGGCGTGTAAAATGTGAATTTAGAGCTTATTAGTGGTATTAATGACATTATAAAGGGCATCTTACAGAGTGCAGCAGTTTATCTGTTACTGCAGAAAGCGCGTGATGTGCTGACCCTCAGCGGGTTAATGGTCACAATATAGTGTAGTTATTGATGAGGCATCGATCATTAACTGTCTGTGAGACAGCTGCCCGCCTGGCTTCACTCCGGATAAACCCGAGTCAGACGTGAAATTCCGGTTTCAGCCACAACACCAGCCCTGTTTCGCAATAACCCCGCTTTCCCGGGACGGCTCGGGGTGCGCAACACGCGCACACACGCAAGTGACAGCAACACAAACACCTCCCCGCCGCCACAAATAAACTCCCCCGCCGCCCTCCGCTTTCATTTCAGATAAATAAATAATAAATAAATAAAAACACGTCTTTAACCAGCGGGCTAGCCGGCTAGCCAGCTAGCTACCCCGGCTTCAGCCGCAGCTTCCCGGGTGTCTTACCTGTAGAGTTGTGATGTGTTTGTCGTTGAATTTGTTTTCGCAGTATCGCAGCACCAGCGACGTCTTCCCCACGCAGCCTTCCCCCAGCAACACCACCTTGAAGGAGTAGGTCCTGCCGCCCGCCCCGCCCGCCGCCATAGCTGGCAGTCTGTTACAGAAAGTCCTTTCGGCTTTATCAAAACAGGCGTTATCAAGCTAGCGATGCTAATGCTAACCCTCCCGTCCTAACTGAAGTCCTGCGTAGCTCACATCAGCTTCCGACTTTGGAAAAACGGCTAAAATCAGGAGAAATACACCTCGACAGCATACGCGAGGTTTACTTTTACCACTATCTACCAACAGGTGTGAGATAAGCGGGTCTAAACAGTGAGCTACTTCCCTTTTCAACCTGATGCGAATGCCTGCTTTTCTCCCAACTAATGGCGTCTCTTTGAGCTAGCAGTTAGCCCGCTAGCTACGCCGAAGATCGTCTACACTCGGGAGGATGGATCACTTCGGTTTCTTAAGACCAGTCCAAAATGATGGTTTGGTCAATTTTAATATTTCAAGTTTATTATTACCATAACTATTACCATACTTTCATTCATAGTAATTATAATAAAAATGTTAAAAACGTTCATAATAAATTAATAAAAATAAATGTATTAAAATTATTATTTGTCTATTTTATAGAGCCTATCTACGTCTATGTAAACCTTAAACTGGTCTTTCTAAAACTCTCAATATTGAATCATAAATTAATTGAGTTGAGAAAGTTTGTTTTATAGAGCACAATGTAAGCTAGATCATATATCTATAAGAGATATGATCCTGTGACAAACAATAATTTGTGTGTGTTGACTAAATAAAACAGTAATTATAATTTTAATCTTCATAATTTTACACACTGTTTCTTGGGTCTTTTAGCATTTACATATACAGAGTTTTTTTTTAAATTAACTTTTATCATTCTCATGTTATATGGTATTTTATCTTTAAATATACCACACAAGTGGTATATTTAGAATAAGTCCATGAAAAAAACATATTTAGATCAACCGTTCTGTAAATGTCTGGCTGGTTTGGTAAATTAAATAATAATAACACAATAAAACTCAAATGAAACGTTACAAGCTGAAAGTAAACATAAATAGAAGCTTTTTTTATTGTTAATGTTTTTATGGGCTATTTTTTTAATCTGCAAATGAGGTAACGGCCTTACAGGGCGAGGTAAAATGACTTGGCATACAGGAAACATGTCGTTTTCAGAAAACCGCTGTTAAAGATTAGCCAACGCATTAGAAACACACTTGGTGTAAAATTTACTGTTTGTCACATGAACAAATCTCTCATAGATATCTGATGTGTGAACTACCTAACGTTGAGCTCTAGAAAACAAACAAATGTGAACCTACATGGAAAATGCTTAGAAAGATGAAATTTACCAGTCTGTGGTTAACAGATTAAAATAGACAAATAATAATGTTTATATATATTATTCAAGATTGTTTTTTTTTTATGAAAGTAACAATAGTTGCAAAATATCTTGAAATCTGAAAATTCAAAAGCAAAATCATCATATTGGACAGCGGTGTCTCACCTTAACAAAAGAAACAGACATCCCGCCCACTCTTTTTAACTTTTGCTCATGTCAGTTTATTATTAACATGATGTTTTTTCCCCTCAAACATTAGTGACTTCATCGGGCTTTCTTTGAAGCTGAAACAACTCTGGAGTCTTCAGTCCGGACTGCAGATCCAACACTGGTGCTCTGAACTCGCAGCAGAGTGGGAGCTCGGCGCTGCTTCCGCCTCTCTGCAGCGTCACATGATGAAAGAGTCGGCTCGCTGTCACAACCTCAGAGCTGCAGGGGGTTTCTGATGTTGGCACATCAAACAACAAACGGCCCAGAAAATCATTTTAGTACTATTACACACAGTTTTTTTGTGTATTTCTTTGACTTCCTTCCCCAGAATTTTTAAGGGACAGGGGTAAGAGGTTCCCTGAGTTCCCTGATGTGAGCAAACGTCGTGACAGGTAACCACATACATATCCAAACACTTTTATCTGGTATTTTTGGATTGTTCGTGTTTGAAAATACTTTATTTCTTTTTTTAGTGGCCTAAAAAGTCCTTTTCTGCATGATATATACAAATAAAAAGCAATAAAATGAAAGAAAAAAGAAAGAAAAAACATATAAGATGTATAAATAAATAACTATTTATATATATATATATATATATATATATATATATATATATATATATATATAACTGATTGGATTATGAATAGTGATGCATTATGTTAAACCATCACATTTATCCCTTCACCCCTTGGCCATCAGACTTTTAAACATGCACATACTATACACCTTCTTGCCTTTTTAATATTTTTATTCAGGTTTTGGATACACTTACCTGGTTGCATGTTGTGCATGTTTTATTTTTTTTTTTCTGCAAACATGCTCTTAAGTAACTGCCCCTAGTGGGATCAATAAAGTTGTTTGAACTTGAACTTAAATTTAATGTTGCAGCTGAAAGGGCGGGGTTGATGTCAACTATACTTTGTAAACCACTGGATAGTTTAACCTTTAATTATTTATCATAATTTATTTGTTGATTTATTAACAATCTGGCAAAGTAACTAGTAACTGAGGTTATCAAATAAATGTAGTGGAGTAAAAAAAATACAATATCGCCTTCTGAACTTCACTGAGTAAAAGTATAAAATAGAAATATTCAAGCACAAGTACCTCAAAATTTGGGGGTAAGTAGGGACCAACAGCTATCAAAGACTGTATCAAAGATTTAAATGGATAAAGAAAATAAGTTGGCAGTGTTTTTATACTCTGTATGAACCTGCTCAAGCACCCCTGGAACGACTTCAAGGCCTCCAAATGAGCCTGAGTTTGTTAGTTAGTTGGTTTATTAACTCAAACATCGAAATAAAGGCATATAAAATAACTTATTTTGATCTCAGCTTTCTGTTTCTCTGGCTGCAGTACCACCACTCGACCACTAGAGGTCAGAGTCTGACTGAAAATGGAGCAGCAGGGAAACTTTCAAATGCACAAAGAAGAATCAGTGCAACTGATGTGGAACCAGGTCTAATGGTAATCATATAAATGAATGTATCAAATTATTTTATTTCTGAAATTCTTTAAACATTTAAGTTTTGTAAGATAAGGTGTCATACTTACATATATTACCAATTCCACATAGTTCTTACGCTTATGGCCTTTGATTGCTTTCACATTTGTGATTAAAAGTGAGATTCTACACGTTTAGAAGAGAGCTGATGCATAAAATTGTCCTTACAGAGATAAATATAAAGTTGTATTGAATTTAATTGATCTTTCAGGAACCGTACACAAGAGTTAAATGACAGCCGGCGAGCTCAACTTTCTCTGTGGTTAATGTTTGTTTAAACATGATGGAAATATATTTGCATCTCAACGGTCACATTATTAGTTTATTTTTATATTTTGTTAATTTTATAGTTATATATTTATGCAAAGCATCTCCCCCTGTTATATGTCTGACCAACACAAATCTATTTATACATTTTTAAATCTATTTTTTGTCGACTGTACTTTAATGTCTAGCAACTTAGCACTGCTGCAAATTCCTCATACGTGTAAAATACTAATTGGTAATAAAACTCTTACTGATTCTGATTTATTTAAATTTAATTTTTGTTTAATAAAAATAATTTGTCACATTTTAAAATGTAAAGAAAATGCTTTCGAACTTGTGTTTGCTTTTGCCGAATTCTTGTTTTTCCATTTCTAGTTTTTTAATCTCTATATCGTTTTTTGATCATTTCAGCATCTGTAGGTTTGGAGCTAGCTGTTTCCCCCTGCTTCCAGTCTTTATGCTAAGCTAAGCTAACATCATACATGAGAGTGACATCTGAACTATTGCTTTAAATAAACAGAGCCTGAGAGCCAGAGACTGCTTTAGACAGATTGCCTCATTGCTTTGGTGTAATGTGTGTGATTACATCTTCATATCTCACCTTTACCTGACCCCCACCAACGCACACACACACTCACACACACACACACACCTTTAACTCCCAGTTTTGTGCTCCTTTCCTGTCTGGTTCGGCAGCTGTTTACTGATAAACACCGTACACGAGCAGCAAACAGCAGACGGACTCGGCTGGTGAACATAGTGGAGTGTGGAGTGGAGGCTGAGCTTGTGTGAAAGAAAGTCAAAGTTGACATGTTTGAAGTTAAAGAACCCTTCGTAGACGACTTATGTCACACGACTTAAAGGTTCAGTGTGTAAGATTTAGTGGCATCTAGTGGTGCGGGTTATGAATTGCAACCACCTGCCCAGTCTACCACTGCCCCCTAACCTAACAACAGTGTGAAACACTGTCACTGTTTCTGCACCACAGTTCATTATAAAGTACACATTTAATAAAGTTTATACAAACATTAACAAGGGAAACACGTTCATTCTCTCTGTGCTTATGGACCCTCACCAAAACCGCCCGCCAACAATAATATCTGGCCCGCTGCCAGATTATGGTGCTCTGATTCCAGCAAAAAATATAAATAAATAAATGCTTTGCAGCAACAGTTACTCACATAATCACTTCCTCTTCAGTGGTTTTGCCTACAAAACAAAAGCGTGAGAAGCTTGTTTACTGTAATGCAGATTTGGAATTGAACTGAGCTTTTACTACATTAAAAGAGTCTGTAGCCTACTGTAGAAACATGACGATGCAACGTGGCGACGTCCACAGAAGGGGGTGGCCGCGGTTATGTAGATATAAATGTCTCTTTCTAAGTGAATAAAAACATAATGGTTTATTATGTAAGGTCTTTACAAACCCCTGAAAACATAGTTATGGATCTTATATTGCATTTCTGTCTATAGATCCTCAGAAATATTAAACACAACCTTTACGTAATGCACTGATTTTACCCAAACAACGATCTTTTGCTAAACTGAACCAAGTGGTTTTGTTGCCTAAATCTAACCAAACCACGACCGTTTCACAATGTTCACCACATGTTAAACGTCACGTGACTTACATAACTAACTGAAGGTTGCTGGATTGATTCTTGCCAACGCTTGTACGTGTCATTTTGGGGAACCATCATATATGTCATTGTAATTTTCAACAGACATATATGTTGTTTTGGGACACTTCAGCCTATTTAGTCACTTAGATTTGAGGACATGTTGCATTTCTTTGACTTCAAGACTTCAAACTTTGTCAGTTTATCTTTCTCTTTTATTTATAACATGTTTGTGTTTTTACTTATTTACTACTTTATTTTACTTGTTTTTAGATAAAGTGAAGTTACTTATTTCATCCATTTTCTTTATGTTTATTTAGGCCTGTTTCTGTCACAACCCCCCAGCAGAAGTCAAAAAAAGCTCAAGCGCAAGATTCGGGTTAGCAACATAGCCTTGCTAGCATCAGAGCGCTTTTGTTTGTTTATGTCAACACATGGATCACATTCATGCAACTTTAGGTGCCCTCAACATCCCCGACCCCCCTGAAGTGGCTCTATCAGCCTGTTCTCACTCCCAAGTACTCACACATGGACGCATGGTCAAGAGCCGTAGTCGTCCGTTTGTGACGCACTGGGGACCCTTTTTTGACGGTAAAGGTAGGTATATGATATTTAACAGAACAGACTGAGTAAGGAGGTGGATGGAGGGCCAGAACCCGGACTTTGAACCAGGAGACCGGGGTTTGTGTCCCCTGTGAAACAAAAAGTCAACATTAAATATTTTTATTTCGCCAAGTTCCGTAAATTCATGACGTTAGCTTACGTGTTAACTGACGTACGTAGCCAACCCATGATCTTTTCCTAACCAAGTAGTTTTGTTGCTTAAACCTAACCAAACTGCAACGTTTCGCGACTTTAACAACACGCCGTTTCAAAACGCTAGCGTTTTATTTTGAAAGCCTAACCGAACGTTGTATATTTGTTGTTGTTAAGCGTTGCTAACTTGACCGCCGAGCCCTAAACCTCAATAAATGACGCAAAAATGGTACCCAGGGCGTTAAAAGGCGACGGCAAAGGGCCTTGACCTTCAATATGTGAGGTTTTGGGAGTGAGAACGTGTTGTCTCTACGCTCCCTCAGGGGGACCCGCCCCCCAGATTGAGAACCACTGATTTGGGCTATGAGACTTTTGTAATACAGGTGATAGTAATATAAGTAATAATGTTGTTTTGTAATGCTTATCATATTAATTGATGATTATCACACATTGTTTATTTCACTTTATTTGATTAATACTGGTAAAACAACAAACGTGTCTTTGTGGCAAAAACTGATAAAACTCATTGAAAACAATAAAAAGTTAGTTAGCAGTAATTTACACTTGTTTCTTTTTTTTCATTCATGTTTCCACATGTGCGTTATGATATTTTATATGTTTGTAAGTTTGTGAAGATTTCATATGTATCAAAAAATCATATTAGCCACTTAGTTAAGCACTGAAGTACAATTTTGAGGCACTTTACTTGAGTATTTCCATTTACTACGACAATTTGGATGGAGGTATTGTACTTTTTACTCCATAACATTTATTTAAAAGCTACAGTTGCTTTGATTTTACATACAAAACATTAAAGAACTTTTAAAATATTAGATCTGCTCAGGTTGGAGTTCTGCGAAGCTTTGCAGGGATCCACAATAAGAAATGTTGTTGAAGTTGCAACAAAACTTACAGGATTTGTTTTCTTTATTACATTTTTTTATCAAGACAACTTAGGGTACAGCAAACAGAATCATGTGCATGTAAGATAAACAAAAAACCTTGGTGGCCTCAAAATGAGTAGTTTTATTGGACATTTTCAGAGCGTTTTGCTGCTAATGCTCAAATATAACTTTGGTAAGATTTTGAATGCAGGACTTTTTAAAGGAGTACTTCTTCCAAAACTGTAAATGAAACTGCCAGTAAGCGTTACAATATCAGCAAGGCGAATTTATTGCATTAAAATGTCAGAATAAATCCGTGGAAACAATTTCACATCAACTGAATCACCAAAATAAACTGTGTCATAAACAAAAACCTTATTGATTCAATTGTTTGTATTTATTTATTTATGGCTTTCATGTTGTTGTCATTAATTCATTTACTTGTTGATTTTGCTGCTGCTCTGTTCCCACAGACAGGTAGAGGCAGGCAGGCAGGCAGACAGACAGACTTGGAGGGTATATAACAGTGGGCTGACACACGGTTGTAGTGAGTAGGACTCACACTTTCACGCACACGCACTCTGGCTCTGCTGCTGCACGCGTGCAGCCTGGAAAGCGACCAAACTGCACACTTCAACTCCAACAACCTGGACTTTCTATCTGACTGTTTTATATTCTTTGTGCGCCGCTTTCAAGGCAGATTAGCTGGAGTTAATCTGAACCGTTTCCAGTGAGACTGCAGTGAGTAGAGACCAAAAACACATCCACGTCCAACACTGCAACTTTTGTGTTATTATTTCCAAGTGTGTGTCTTTCTGTTTGTTTTTGTTTTTTGCTGAACCTGAAGCGTTAAGCCTCCGGAGAGGACATGCCGGGGTTTGTGGTTTTGTTGGCCGTGTTTGCACTCCTCTCAGCCGGGTTAAGGAGTTCTGTGGCCGCGGTGGAGATGCAGAGCTCCGCCGTGCCAGCGGTGGAGAGGACAGCGGCGGCTGCGGGGAACAGCTCCGCGGTGGCCCGAGTGGAGAGCACCGGAGACGGGGACAGAGGAGCGGAGTGGGCCGGCTGCCCTGGCCGCTGTCGGTGCGATGTGGACGGGCTGCTGCACCGGGTGGACTGCTCGGACCTGGGGCTCCGGGAGATGCCGAGCAACCTGAGCGTCTTCACATCTTTCCTGTAAGTCAACACCCAGGGTTTATGTTTTAAATAGTTTCCCCAACATGTTGCTCTGAATCTGCACATAGCAAATGAGCAGCAACTCAGATTATGTGTGTGCGTGCAGGCGAGCATGCGTGGATGTTATGCAGTGGTGGGAACCGGAGCACCTGTTCCACTCTGCCCCTGTGTTTATGTCTCTCGCGCGTGTTCTGTTGTTCATATGTTGGTTAAAGCGGGGATTAGGTGATGGCCCAGCTCACTGCTGACTGTAGAAGACAGAGAGAAAGGTGAAAAGCTTACAAAAAGTAAGCAAAGGAACAGTTCCAGATGTTCCTGAAGAGCGTTTCTTCAGGAACGTCTGCAGGTTCTTAAAGAGGTTCCTGGAGCAATTTTTGGATTTTGAGAAGGTTTCAGGTGTCCTCCTTGAAGTAGTTTTAGTTGTTAACACAGAGGAGGCTAAACTGGTACTTAAATATGTTCCTAAAGATTTGGAGAAGTGTTCCCAAGGGTACTAGATGTGTCTGAAGAGCTGAACATAAGGTTTAAGTGTTCTTGAGGACGTTCTGTAGAAAATGTAGGCGTACAGGAGTTCTAAAATAGGTTTTAGGTGTCCTTGAGGTGATATCAGGTGTCCATAACAATGTTCCAGCCATACGTTCCAAAATCCCTTGAGCACTTTTTGAGGTTTGAGGGTTTGTTAAGAACATTTTAGAGGTCCTTATAGAGGTTCCTCAGAGTATGCTCAAGTGGTACTGGAGATTTCTTAAGCTTTTGAGAGGTTTCAGGTACCAATGTGACCTCTTCAAATTTTGAAGAGGTCCCATTGGTACTTAGGGAATTCAGGGTTACAAGGGTTCTTGAAGTTCTTAAAGAGTTTCCTAAAGCACTCGAAGAGGTTCCTCTGGTTCTTGAAGACGTTTCACAGAGTGTGCTCAGCCGGTCCTGTAAGAGATTCTTGGAGTTTTTGACAAGATCCGGAGGAAGAGATTTAAAAGTTTCTTTAGGAAGGTTTACATGTTCTTAAAGAGGTTCTTGGAGCATGTGAAGAGGTTCCAGGGTTTTTGAGAAGGTTTCAGGTGTCCTTGAATAGATTCTAGTGGTTCTTAAAGACGTTCCTCAGAGTATGCT